ACTGGAAGTTTGTACCTCTTAATCCCCTTTAACTATTTCACCCATATCCCCACCTACCTCCCCTCTGACAACCACCAGTTCGTTCTCTGTCTTTAAGAGTCTGTTTGTTTTGTTTTTTATATTCCACATAAGCTGAAATCATATGGTATTTTTCTCTGACTGACTTGTCTCACTTAGCTTAATATCCTTAAATATGTGGGTAGCAACACTGGTCAATAGAACACAATGGAGCAATGTCTTCAAAACTCCTAAGAAAAAGATAGTTCCAACCTTAAATTTTACATCCAGCTGAATTATCAGTGTGTGAGGACCAAATAAATTTATGCTATTTAGTACTTCCCATTCAATTTCTCTTAGGAAGGTACTGGATGATGTGCTCAACTGAAATAAGAGTGGAAATCAAGAAATAATTACATGTGTATTCAGAAAATATGTCTCCAAGCACAGAATAAAGGAGAATAGAATTCTCAGAACATGGTCAAGGATGATCCCACGATGAGATCTGTATTCCAGGTATGGAGGCCAAACAGTCCTGATTAGAGAGATCAAAAGGCTGTTGGGAAGATTTCTTTCAGAAGATAAAACTGATAAAATACCTGATGCATACTAATTCAAGGAAAAGAGTGACATAATTAACAACTTAGGGTTATTTTAGTGATAGGTAGAAAGAATAAGACAGTTATTCAGGGAAAACAAAATTTTAAGGAAAAGACAACTAATAATGTGATACCTTTTGAATGACCTGCTAATAGCATTCACATAGTAGTAACAATACAAATGTTGAATGTATATCTAACAAAAATTTTGATAGATAGGCGTGACTGAAGGATGTGATGAAATGCGATAGAGGGGAATGGTGAAAGAAACGAAGTCCTTATCTTTATTATTGCAAAATCAATAGAGAATGTATAACCTTAAAAATTGATATGCTGAAGCATGTATATTTTAGAGATACAGAGATATATACAAAAAAATCAGCTAAAAGTGTCAAAATGGTTGATTTTGGAAAGAGAGAATTCCAGGGCAGACACTGAATCACTCTTTTAGTAATAAACTCTATAGAACTTGGTGAGTCTTTAAATTATATGCATTTATAACTGATTAAAGTAAAACTAAAATAAAGGTAATATAGCTTGTGTGGTTTTAAATGTTTCACATTTACCATGTTATATATATAATTCTTTAATTTGTGTTTTCACTATTAGCTTTATATTTTCAACTTCTATACATGTAAATAAATATGTATCTCTTTCAGTTAGTTATGTAGTTTTACAAAATTTTGATACATGGGTTAATGCACATTTTAATTATCCATTTTTTCCACTATTGGCAATGTAATGAAGACTCTTGCACAGGCTTTGTTAAAATTCATCTAAACTTATGTATTTATAAATGGAATCAAAGGGCCGTAAAATTAAGATTTTAATCTTAATTTTAACTAGATATTGTCAACATGTTCTCCATAATGTATGTAAAGTTTTCCAATTGTGACATACTTCAAATTTGGCAAGGGATAAAATATGGTTGTGTCTCCCATCTCCAAAGTGAAGTCGTTCTCCTTTGACAACTGATTTTTCAGTAAACTGTTCATTTACTTTATTGTTAAATTCTGTAGTGACTTTTCTCTAAAGACTTCATGGAGTTCCTTTTTTTTTTTTTTCCTATGCAACAATAAATGCAGGACAGTGCAGCAAAGTCAAGAGAGGTTTAAAAGGAAAATGATTATGATTGAAAACTGTGAATCCCCTGCAAAGATACTGATCGCGTGTGAAGGAAACACTGAGTCCTACATTGCTTCAAAACAGTAACGCTCAAATATATTTTCATCAAAAACTTTTGGAAGAATTTTTCCATATCATCAAGAGCTAAGAAATGACCACGAATATCCAACAGCTAAAAATCAAGATAAATGTATAAAAATCCTAAAGTCTATGGTAAAGAATAGGTTTTTAATGGACGTAAACAAATATTATAACTCCAAAATAGAATGTTTAATTCCAAAAAACAATTTATCTTGAAAGATAAATTTTGTCTTTTTCTTGAAATGTAAATTTATTATTTTAAATATGGAGCTTGTGACCTCAAGAGAAATTAAATGTGAACTGGGAAAAATGTTAGGGAAATAATGTAAGGAAAATGAGTAAAGGAGTCTAAAAATAAACTTTTATTTAATATAAATAGAACTCAATTTTTAAAAATAAATGTCAAAATCTCTAAGTAGGTGAATTGAAATTAGCACCTTAATTTTTAAACCTGCAGAAAGAAGTCAGTAAAACAAAAAAATGGAACAAAAAGTAATCCCCAAAAAGCATAAAATGAAAAGCATAAAATATGTAATGGACCAAATATAATGTTATGAAAGTAACTATGAGCAGTTTAAATTTCTTGATTAAAAGTTAAGATGCTCAAAATGAGTAACAGGGAAAACTATTTAGTATTGTTGATTCATGGATGATTTCTCATAGAAAATGTCCTTTCAAACAAAACCTGAGGGATAAGAAAGTTTTAAAATGATTTAGATAATTTTGAAATGTGGAAATACAAGAGGAAATGAGAAAATATGAGATGTTTGCGATGGGATGGAATCCAATATCTTTTTGACTTCTCTGCCTGTGGAATTCCTTCTCATTCTATAATGATCTTCCAAATACCACTTCTTTTTCAAGTATTTGCCAGTAGGCCAAAATCTTAAAGAATATATGACTCCCTCCCCTTGCATGTTGGTATTATTAGAGCTGGTGAATACTAATGACTCTTTTCTGTATTACTTAAGGTCTTTAGTAGCAGAAAACATGTACTAATAATTTTTGCTTCCAATGTCTAGAATAATATGAGATATAATAATGTGTGTATAATCAAGCCATGTTTATGAGATGAGTTAAATTGATTTTTTTAAATGTTCCAAGCCTCCTTTTTCAGATAAGAACTTTACACATATTATCATACTTTGAGATTTTGTGAAAACTACTCTATATTAAAATTATGTCTAATTCATACATCCTTAAATGTGTTAAAGAATCTTTTCAAATTCCAGATCATGCTATATTTACTTGCAAAATGTTCAAAATAAAATGCTGATTTTTTTAAAGATTTATCTATTTATTTGAGAGAGAGAGAGAAAAAAGAACGCATGAGTGGGGGAAGGGGTGGGGGAGAGAATCTTCAAGCAGACTCCCCGCTGAGTGTGGAGCCTGTCCTAGAACTCGATTTCATGACCCATGATATGATCGTGACCTGAGCCAAAACCAACATCAGACGCTTAATCAACTGAGCCATCCAGACACCCCTAAAATGCTGATTTTTAAGCATCTTTGCATTTAGAAGACATACAGATTTTCAGTTTGGTGACACAAAATATATTTAAATAATATAGATTTTATAAATAAATGCACAATGCATTTTTTCCTATTCTTTAATTTTTCCTGTCTTCTAACTTAACAGTCTTTAATGGGTTATGTTTTGGATGAGTAACAAACCCAGGAAAGACACAATTTGAGGCAAACTGTTTTAAAGCTCTTTAGCATTACCCTAAGGAAATCACAAAAGTCACTATGATACCAACTATTAAATCCAGATTAGTACTTGGCTGTGGGTTTATGTTGGGCTATTTTTTTTAAGTGGAATATGTTTTTCCTCCTTGCTTAATGAAAATTTTTGATGGTATTCTGAGAATCAATTTTAAATAGAAGCTTAAATTGAAAAGAAAAAAAGCTTGTTTTAGTTATGAGTAACTGATATCAATATCATTATTTTGTTTTATTTAAGTAAAAACAGTTAAATTTTAGTTAATAATGTATTTTGGAAAGATAAGCATTAAATTCTAATGAAACCATGTATATGTGTATAATTACTATTCGAATTTGCACACAACTACTGGTAAAATTGCTGTAATTGTGTTTGTACATGTGGCTGAAAAAGCTCAATGCCTAGTAAAGAGCCATTTTCACAATTTTAAACATTTTTTCCTATAGTCATTTCTAGAACTTATTTTTCATTGTTTTCAAGTCAGTTTCAGCCTCAACCATATAGTCCAGTCTGTTCACACGTCCTAGCTTGAGAATTGCTAATTTATATAGACAAATTCATTTATTCATTCTGGTTCTTTTCCAGGTGGTTTTGTGTTCTAAGTTGTGTGAATTTTGCTTTGAGTTGTTTAGCACATTCTTTGTATTCTTTCTGTCGGGATTGCAATTCTTACATCTGAAATAAGGAACTAGATGTTACCCATTGATTATATTAAAGCACAGGGTATTTTATGTCATGCATCTTCTAGAAATTAAGTACTATAATTTGGTCAGCTGTGAAATAAAAATAATATCTGTTCCATGTTTGTTAACCTGAAGCATATGCATTAATGGTAATATCACCACTAAAGTGAACAACTGCCCAGAGCTACAGGACACAGACACACAAAAAATCTGATATGCAAACTCTGTATCTGTGAAGGAATAGATGATTATAGCTACAGCCAACTTGTAAAATTGGCAAAGAGACCGATTATTTTTTCCTCAGAGACCTCTGCTTCTCTGTGGTAGGAATGCCAGCTTCCGACAAAGCAGTGTTCAGGTCATGACTCAAATATTCTGGAAGTTCCACTGGAATTTATATTGAGTAAGAATGTTGCTGGGAAATGACTCACCTTACAAGGAAACTGTGTCTAATTACATATCTTTTTTCCAATCTTTATATGCTATTATTCAAAAAAAAAATCATTGTTTTTAATTATTTACATATAAATTATGTGAAAACCATAATATCATTGACACTATTTACACACGTAGAATAGCATAATTATGTTGTGATAAGCATCATTGGAAATAGACTGTCCCCAAACTTCACTGCTTCTTCTATATTTGCCATTTAGTGCAAAATATCGAGAAGAAATAAAGCTGATGAAATTTCTAGACAGGTAGCTACTAAGCTATTGTTCTTTTTATCATATAAGAAAGTTAAGCTTAGTGCTTTCTCTAGACCAGTTGGTCCCTCCATTTTTTTTATTTTTTAATATGAAATGCTTCATAAATTTGTGTGTCATCCTTGTGCAGGGGCCACGCTAATCTCTGTATTGTTCCAATTTTAGTATATGTGGTGTGAAGGTGAGCACAATCCCCCCCAATTTTTTGATACCACATCCCATCATTAAAACATTTTTGGACAATTATTCCAAAATACATTTATTTATTTGTAAATTATGTACACATACTTCTTACCTAATGCAAGTATGTACATTACAAGCCACAACAAAATACAGAGGTGTGAAAAATGATAAAATGTTTTTTAATGAGTTCATTAAGTACATGTATATTCACATTGTTTTTTCATGATTTAGAAATTTTTTGGTATCCTCTTGTCATGTCCGTTTAAACCATGACAGTTTTTTGTCTTGCCGTGTGGTCTACCAGAAGATTGAACTTGATTTCTGCCATTTTCTGATGTTTGCTCATGTTTGGATTATTAATCATATATTATCGTCAATACAGGTTTATTTGGCAGCAACTTTTTGTAGTCCACTTGTCCATTTTGTGAGTATTTTACTAATTAAAACTACAAAACTTATAGTGCGTAAGTCCATTCAACTGTGCACATGCAAACTTCATTAAATCAGAAAACACTGGGGCAAATATAAGATTAAATGTGACACTCAATTATTCTAGGATGGGGAATTTCTACTCTGTACACAGGACATATCACATGCCATCTGTGACATGTGACCCTCCCCCAAAAGGGACTAAGGAAGGAAACAGTGTCAGTCTGCAGATTCAAATTCTCCAAGGGATTGTCTCCAGTTTGCACACCGCCTCCTTAGACCAGTGGTCTTCCAACTGGGGTATACATAGCCTGGGGTTCTAAGATACAAGCACAGATGGCTTTAAGAAAATGAATTTCTTGATCATCACTTCCATATGGATTCTCTCCTAAGACTGATAAGGTTCCTGAGTGAAGCAGTTCCTTTCCTACATCTCCTTTTTCTAATACATTTATCAACCCTTTATACTAAAAAGGGACACTTCTCACCCATCCTAAGGCTAAGTATGGTATGTTGTTCCAGGATGTAAAATTCTCCAGAGTTTCCCTCATTCTCTCTTATTCTCTCTCTCTCTCCCTCTTTCTCTCTTCCTCTTTACCTCCTTTTCTCTCTCTCTCTGGTATATATATATACAGAGGATAAACTAGATTTTGGTGTTAAACTTGAGAAAATGAATGACTCTAATGACTAGAAGACAAATGGATTTTCAGGTGGTTTCCAATTCATACTTTTTAACAGAGGTGAAGGATAACCGAACTTAGTTATCAAATGACAGATGACGAAATTTTTTAATGGGAAATCAGCATGAGATTTTTGCACAAAACTCAGAAGAGGTTCAAAGAATTTAGTTATGGGCTTATAACAAGTCTGTTCAAATCTATTTACTTATATGAACATAGTTTCTTCATGCTCAGACCTATTTTTTTAATAAAAGAATGGAATGAATGTTCAACTCCACATTACTCACACAATAAATAATATTCATCCATGAATACATGACAGAATATCTTTGATCAATTGTTCATTACATTTACATATAATAGTAAAGGTATGTCAATGTAAAATAATTTTTAATATTTACTGTCTTATGTTTATAGGAAATTTTAAAAATAATTTTAAATTTAAATATATATATTTTATTGTAGAGAAACAATAAAAGGCTTTCAACAAAGACTTAAATGTATTGTATATATTTGAATAAAATTCAATGAAGGAACTGGGATTGAATATGATCTGAAGAAGTAAAAACCATGCAATATTACACTTATTTTTGTATTTCTTTTAAATTAGCAATGTTTTGTATCCAATCATTATGATATTTAGATCTCACTGGATAGAATTTAAAAAATTGACATAACCTGTCCACTTTTAAATTCCAATATTTAATGACACAGAATTTCACAATGCTTAGCTATTTTAAACTGTTACTGTTAACTCGTCAACCTAGAAACTTTCTTTAAAACACTTGTTTTATTCTAAATTCTTATGGGGGATATATGAGGGAAAACACTTTTAAAAAAACACTGCTTCCCACAAGCACTATCATTATAGCATCTGCTTATATCCAAAGTTAATATTTTTGAACGATAAGATATAGTCAGATTTTAGCCACCAGATAATAGCAGGAGAGAGAAGGAGAGAGAATAAATATGACAGAACGATAGGATTTTAGATCTGATGTAAAGCCAATAGTTATTTCACACATATAGGTTAAATTAATGCTACATGTGAACTCAATCAGCAATAATGCTGTGTCGTGTCTCCTTGATCAAGAGAATTGCTACCTAGTGAACTTTTAAAAATGTAATTGTTTTATTATAATTACTACTATCACTACCACCACCATTACTACTACATAGATGTTTAAAGCATAGGGATATTGATCAACTTTTCATGGGTCATTATAAGCCACAGCCCATAGGTCAGATTTGTAAGGCCATATGTGATTTTAACAACCATTCTGGATAAGTTGACAACTATTACATCATCTTTAAAGAATATTATTTTATACTTTAAAATTTTTCTTTCATTGATGCTTCCAAATAGTTCCAGATACCGAGATGCTGTTTTTCTATCTCTGCCTTAAATTAAGAGGAAAACCTCATTGTAAGCTCTCCTTGTTTCTAATTGGTAAGAAAAAATAGCTTTTCAATAAATAAAAATCACACAGATGCATACACATATTGCATTTTAGAATGAGGACATAATGAACCAGCATTATTCACTTAGGGAACATGGGAAAAAAATAAATGATTAAAAATAATACCATTATTGAACTGCCACAGTCCACACTGATGTACTCTAAGAGTGGGTAAAAAACCAGAAAATATGAAATTCAACTCTAAAGGTAATATTTTAATAAAAGATAGAACATTTTGTTATGAAGAGTTGGCCCTAATGATTTTTTTTTAAAGATTTTATTTATTTATTTGACAGAGAGACACAGCGAGAGAAGGAACACAAGCAGAGGGAGAGGGAGAAGCAGAGGGAGAGGGAGAAGGCTCCCCACTGAGCAGGGAGCCCGACACGGGGCTCGATCCCAGGACCCTGGGATCATGACCTGAGCAGAAGGCAGACGCTTAATGACTGAGCCACCCAGGCACCCTTGGCCCTATTAATATTTATAGAAAATCTTTTTGATGATAATTTTTCATATTTATTTTAATAGGAATATTAAAATAAGAAAGATAGCATCTATGATATTGGATGGTTTTTTTGTGCTATTTATTTTACATATGCTATTATTCTTTCTAATATGTATATTCTTTTTGACTACATTTCTTTTGTGCTATTTACTTATATCTAATGTCTGTGAAAATCTGACTTATTTTCTCCATTTTGTTTTTCTTCCTGATTATACAACTGGACTGTATTTTCCAGGCTCCTTTTCAGTGACGTGTGGCCACTTGACTTAGGTTCAGCTTATTGAATATGAAACAATCTGTTCGCCTTCCCAGAATAGAAAAGAAATGCCCTTGAACCCCAGGCCATGTTCTTTCCATCAGTTGGCTGAAAGGAGAGGAATTCAAGGACTTAAGAGGCTAGTGAAGCCACCATGTGGCAGGACCATGGGGGTCTGGATGGCCGTGTAGAGTGGAACCCCCATGAGGGTCTGTCCCCTCTGATTTAAACAAGAAATAAAGTATTTGTGCAAACCCAGTGAGATTTAGTGGTTTATTTCTTAAATCAGTTAGCCTACTTGGGCTAATATATCATCTGTGGGTCTCTTTGACCTCAGAGGCTCATCCTTTCAAACCATCTTTTTTATTATTGCCAAATAATTTTTATATCAAAGAGCTGTTTTATGGCTGCTTGTTTCTAAACTGTCACTATGGCTCACTATCCCATTGCAGTTCCCATTATGACCCTAATTCCCTCAATATTTTAATGTTTATTTTACTCAATTCCTTTTCCATGTTTCCCTCATCATGGAGGTCCTGCCTTTCTCCTCTTTCTCTACACAAATCTCAACTTTCTTTCCAGATTCTGGTAAAGTTCTTCATTCTGTCTTTTCTGATTATCGCCATCTCCCTTCCCATTTTAGGTCCTCCTCCACAACCCTCTGGTCCCTCCTTCTATAATACTGCTCCTCACTTACTTTGTCCTCCTTGCTCTTTTTCCAATATACAGAGTTTATTTCTTCTACTGCGCCTGCATTTATTTGTCCATTTTCCTGAAACTCTCTTACCCTAAAAACTTTCACAGTTTTCATCCTTCTTTCCTGAATATCTTTTATTATGTGACCTCTCTCAGAAAGGATTTGCCTGATTGGCCTGTTTAAAATAGTTCTTCCAGGGGTGCCTGAGTGGCTCAGCTGATTGTGTGACCAACTCTTGGTTTTGGCCCAAGTCATGGTCTCATGGGTGGTGGGATTGAGCCCCACATCAACTCCACGCTCAGCAGGGAGTCTGCTTGAGATTCTCTCCCTCTGCCCCTCCCACTACTCACTCCCAAGCTCTTTCTCTCTGTGTTTCTAAAATAAATAAAGAAATCTTTAAAACAGAATAAAATAGAATAGTTCTCCCCAAAGGCTGTCACTCTACATCCCCTTATTTTGCTTTATTTTTTCCAGTGTTCATAATCTTATCTGATATTTGGTATACCTGTTTATTTGTTCATTTTCTATACCCTCCTCTAGAATATAAGCTTGCCCAGAGGAGAGGACTGGTCTATTCTGTGCCATATATCCAGCACCCAGAACAATGCCTACCATATAATCGGGGCTCAGTATACATTTGTTCAATAAAGAGTTGAATAAATCAATAAAACTATCCTTCTGAAATACTGTGTTAATGGTGATTAAAACCAAAACCACTTTTGGTACCTTTCACATGCATTGCTTCATTTGAGCCTCTTTCCCTTTCTCTTTCTGCCTCCCTTCAGAAAGTTTTGTATAGGTGATTATTTTTTTAAAGATTTTATTCATTTATTTGTCAGAGAGGGGGAAAGAGAGAGAGAGAGTGCACAAGCGGCGGAGAGGGGGGTTGGCAGGCAGAGGGAGAAGCAGGCTCCCCGCTGAGCAAGGAGCCCAATGTGGGACTAGATCCCAGGACCCTGGGATCATTACCTGAGTTGAA